TTTTTAATCATTTCAAATTGAGTTTTCCATAAGCTTTTAAAATGCAAGATTATTCATCACTGAAGTAGATGAATAGTCCTATGAGTTTTTTAATCCATGTTTATGAGAAAGATTGACCTACTATTTTGTTTTTTCATAGTGTCTATGTTTGCACTGTATATGGAGTTTATACTAGTAACAGATAATGAACTGTGGAGTATTTTCTAGTTTTTTTATTCAGCAGACTAGCTTATGTAAAACATCTCTTTGCTCAATATTTAGTAAAACTTACTTTTAAAACAAGACTTGATATTTTCTTGATAGGTGCCTTCTCAGGTATTGGTTCAATTCCCTAAGATTTGAAATGCAAATATTTGTAAACATAATGACTTATAAGACATATAGAGATAGAAGTAAATGGACAATTAGATTAAAAGGGAGCCCCCAGATATGCCAAGGCATGTATGGAATTTTGATGTATAGAGGAGAGGGCATCATGTATTATTGGGCAGAAATACACCATTTAATAAATGCTAGTAAGTGTATTATCCAAAAAGGGAAAAACAGGTGGATCCATATTCTATACAGTTCAGTTCAGTGCAGTAGCTCAGTCATGTCCAACTCTTTGCGACCCCATGGACTGCAGCACACCAGGCTTCACTTACTCAAACTCATGTCCATCAAGTTAACGATACCATCCAACCATCTCAACTTCCCTTATCCTCCCGCATTCAATCTTTCCCAGCCTCAGGGTCTTTTCCAATGAGTCGGTTCATTGCATCAGGTGGCCAAAGTACTGGAGTTTCAGCTTCAGCATCTGTCCTTCCAATGAATATTCAGGACTGATTTCCTTCAGGATTGACTGGTTGGATCTCCTTGCAGTCCAAGGGACTCTCAAGAGTCTTCTCCAACACCACAGTTCAAAAGCATTATTTCTTCAGCACTCAGCTTTCTTTATAGTCCAACTCTCACATCCATACATGACCACTGGAAAAACCATAGCTTTGACTAGACGGACCTTTGTTGGCAAAGTAATGTGTCTGTTTTTTAATATGCTCTCTAGGTTTGTCACAGCTTTTCTTCCAACGTGCAATTGTCTTTTAATTTCATGGCTGCAGTCACCATCTGCAGTGATTTTGGAGCTCAACAAAATAAAGTCTGCCACTGTTTCCACTGTTTCCTCATTTATGTGCCATAAAATGATGGGACAGAATGCCATTATCTTAGTTTTTTGAATGTTGAGTCTTTTTTTTTTTTTTTTATGTGGCTGGCCTACACACCTCTCCAGCAGCACTCACCTGGAGAAGCTACTATGGATGCCAGCTACTGCTTTTTCTCCCCTCCTAAACAGATACAGCTTGGTCTAGAGCTGCACTGCCCCATAAGAAGGAGAATTGAATGTTGAGCCAACTTTTTCACTCTCCTCTTTCACTTTCAACAAGAGGCTCTTTAGTTCTTAGCTTTCTGCCACAAGGGTGGTGTCATCTGCGTATCTGAGATTATTGATATTTCTCCCAGCAATCTTGATTCCAACTTGTGTTTCATCCAGCCCAGCATTTCTCATGATGTACTCTGCATATAAGTTAAATAAGTAGGGTGACAACATACAGCCTTGACACACTCCTTTCCCAATTTGGAACCAATCTGTTGTTCCATGTCCAGTTCTAACTGTTGCTTCTTGACCTGCATACTGGTTTCTCAGGAGGCAGGTAAGGTGGTCTGGTATTCCAGTCTCTTTAAGAATTTCCCACAGTTTCTTGTGATCCACACAGTCAAGGGCTTTGCATAGTCAATAAAGCAGAAGTAGATATTTTTCTGGAACTCACTTGCTTTTTCAGTGATCCAATGGATGTTGGCAATTTAATCTCTGGTTCCTCTGCCTTTTCTAAATCCAACTTGAACATCTGGAAGTTCACAGTTCATGTACTGTTGAAGCCTATACAGCCACACAGACACAAAATCTAGGTGGACATAGGAAATAGAGAGGGTAAAGTTCAAGAATTTTATAAGAAAATATGTTAAAATAGTTTTATGACATCAAGTACAAAATAAGAAAATAAGTACAAAAATCCCTGAATTATAAAGAAAGGATTTATAAATTTGACTACATTAAAATTTAAAACTGTTAATTTAGAGGCATTCTAAAGAAATAAAAGCCTCAGAAGCAAATATATTTTGATGAATATATATATATGATATATATGTGATATATATATGATGAATACATATATAATGAACTAAAATGATAAATTAAGACAAATTATGCTATCTAGAATAAAATGGGAGAATAAATACATGAAGAAGAATTTCACAGAAATAAAAAAAGAATAAAATGTGGTCCAAAAATGGCCTATATGGAGTTATCATAAACCTCATGAGTGATCAAAAAACTATGAACTTGGACCACAATGAACTATCACTAAACAAAAATTTAAAAGTCTGAGGTCAAGAAGCATTACAATGTAGAGAAATGAAAATACACACATATTGTGAGTGAAAATAATTTACTACTTTGAAAATGAGTTAACACTAACCAAGTTTGACATGCCAATTACCAATATTTTTACTCCAAGATGGAAAACCTTAATAAATATTTTCTTCAGCAATATCTGTAATTGCAAAAAGAAATGGAAATAGCTTATGTCTATTAACAGCAGAATGTAATGATAAATTAAGGCTTTTCTTCCTACATAATGGAGTATCATAGAGGAGTGGAAATGTATGAACTTCAGCTGCAAACAATATAAATAAATCTTAGAAACACAATGAATATTTTGTAAACCTTGCTGTTATAACTACAAACAACATGATGCTATTTTTATAAACCTCATAAACAGACTATTACAAACAACATAATATTTATAGAAATGCATTTCTCTGGTCAAATTATATTAGAAAATTTCCAAAGAAATAAGACAATTATATCTGGAATATAGAGAGTAGGGGTAAAATCAAGGAGAACATAGCTAGAAGGAAGCTATTAATAATGTTTTGGTTATTTTGTTAAGTGGGAGGCTCCTGAGAGCTCATTTTATGTTACATTTTTAAATAATTTTCAAGTATGAACACTGAGATAAAGTAATATTTGAAATTCTTTTTTTTCCCATATTTTTATTAGTTGGAGGCTAATTACTTTACAATATTGTAGTGGTTTTTGCCATACATTGACATGAATCAATCAGCCATGGAATTCTTTTTACATATGGCATGAACTATTTAAAACACTACAGATAAAATACTAGAATATTTAGAATCTTTAGCTAGATTGCTGAATTAAAACCAAAAGTCAGTATATAAAATAAATTGAAACTGAAAGTGACAGAGTAGGTATCTCCAAGGATCTATCCCTCCCTTGAAGCAAGGATTAAGGTGGCAGAAACTGTCAGAATCAATTTTCTGGAACTCTGAAATTTAATCAAAAACTTATAAAAAGCAAGGAAGTAGAAAATGAAGGAAGAAGCTGCTCAATTTTGTCAAGAAAGCAATGTAGAGTTTTAACTTACCTGCCTACCTTCCCATTTTCCAACTAGGCAGCAGTAACTGATGATAGTAACCTGCATTCCTGGTGTGTTTTCTTACACCAGAAGGGGCAAAGAACAATTCTTGTTCTCAAAGAATTGTGGTTATGTTTTTAGATCTGTCTGGCGATGAGCCAGTGGATCAGTTCAGGAGGTGCACTGTTTAGCTCTTCTTGGAACTTTCTGAGGGCTGGAGCAACCTCCTGGACAGCTTTGTCAAAAACATTTAAAGGGATATGCTAACCACAGCCACCTAGGGCAAGTGACGAGAAACGGAAAGCAAGTGGCAAGAAAGAAAAGCCTAAAAAGTAAGAGGCTGGGGAAAGTGATTGAGTGTGAGGGGACTAATCAATTACAAAAACCCCCATTTGCAATGGATAATTCAGAGTGCCACATGCAGATTCAAGGCTGAAACCTGATAAGACTTTATGAATGAACTCTCTGATCTTTAGGCCCTGCATAAGCAAGATATGTGGACTAAATAAAAGTTGTACATGGACTGGTTAATTATTTTAAGAGAGCCCCAACTCACAGCTAATCTAAAAAGGATAGGAGAAGTTTGGTTTGTGTGTTTGTGTTTTGCTCCAAACATTTAAAGATATTTCCATCAAATCGTAGCTAATAGCTAAGTTAGCAGAACAGAAACTCCACTGATCAAAAACAACAAAATACAGTCTTTACAAAAACAGTTTACAAAAGTTACTAAACAAATAAGTACAACCCACAAAAATAAAAAACAACAGAATTCTTGGCAATTAAATAAAACAAACAGGTATTTATGGTATCTTTAGCTATTATTGTAGGTCATGCCTACTGTCCATAAAGTCCTTCAGAGTGAGAAGACATTTTCTTCTATAAGTGGGAAAAGAGTATTGATGGCAACACTGGTGAGGAAGAAAAGAACAAAGTTTAGATGTAAGTAGGTAATAATTGATATTTCCTGATTTTACTACACAGAAAATTACCTAACACAAACATCTAAATTCTAGATATGCAAATAGGAGGCATCTTTGAGATGTGAAGATAATACAATCACTCTTTTTTCAGTAAGAATTGCATTTTCTGTGCCAGTATGCACAAACACTAATTTTATTGTAATAAAATACACATAACATAAAGTTTACATTTTAAAGTATACATTTCAGTGGTACTGAGTACATTCATAATGTTGTGCAATCATCATCACCATCTAGATCCATGATAGTTCTGTTTACAAAGGCTCAGCCTTTGAAACTCACTGAGTATGTAGTAAGATTGTTGCCTATCAAAACTGGTTTAAAAAAAAAGAGAGAAAAAAAGTGTTTGCAGGGGAACTGTTATAATAATCATAAATATCAGTGAAGATTAAATAAGAGACAAATAAAATGTTGACAATTGCTTATTTTTCATATCTATACTTCTCTAAAATAACATTCATTTTATCCTATATTTCCTTAATATTTGTTGTCATCTTAGACTTTGTATAAGTTTTTAAAATAAGGCTATCTCTTTTATCACCCCCAGTTAAGAATAACAATGTCTACAGTTTTGGAGAACATGGGATTGCAAACTTTTTGATTTCATCAGCTGCCTTGGGCTTAATTTTTCTGCTTTTGCTTTTTTGTCTGGAAAGTACATTCTGGAACCTGAGAAAGTTTGTCTTTCATAAAATTGTATTTAATGTCTATAAGATATTTATGAACAACAAGAAGGTGAGTAACTAATACAGACTCTAGATACACTCAAAGAAAGCTCAGCATTAGGTCAGAATGTATAAATTAACATATTCCTACCTTTGTTACTTAATAAGATATCATTCAATTATACCAAGATCTAACTGGGACTAATTTGAATCATAGGTCTTTCATCTTAGTTTGAATTTTCAGTTCTGAATTTTGAATCCTCTGCCTACAAGAAAATAATCCATAATAATGAACTATGATAGAAAGTGCTGCCTCGTGCCTGTACAGTTTTTGAGGTGTATTTGGTTGTAATTATAGAATTGACTTCTTTAAAGCTGGGTAGAATTATAGAGTTTCATGGTCTCTACCAGTCAGGACTTTTTCCTATTGCCTAGGATTAAACATATAAATATTGTGTTAAGATTTTTTTCCTGCTCTTTTTTAGTTTCAAACTTTAACATTCTTAGGCTGAGATGGGTCTCTACCAGTCAGATTACTAACTATTGCTTTACATAGGTCTCATAGTTCACACAATCTCCAAGTTTTGCCTCAGGATTTTTTAATTGTTCATTCATTCAGTAATTGAACTTTCACTGATCTACACTTGAATAGAACCAAAAATAAATAAATAAATCTTTTTTAAGAAAGAATATAGGAAGAAATGGGAGAAATGAACAAGTAGGGTTTATTCCATGAATGTAAAATTAGTTCAATATTTGAAAATAAATCAATGTTACAATATTGATCATCTCAAGAAGGAAAATCACATGTTCGTGTCAATTATTTCAGGAAAATCATGTGACATTTAACAACCTTTTATGATTTTTTTAAAACTACACCACTAGGGAAAGAAAGGAACTACCTTAACCTAATAAATGGCATCTGTTTATATGTAACTGCTGCTGCTGCTAAGTCGCTTCAGTCATGTTTATATGTAAAGCCTACAGTAAACATAAAGGGAAGGACTAAATGTTTTCCCTCTAAGATTGAAAATTGGGCAAGGATATTCACTCTTAGCACTTGCATTCTATCAATTTTGAGATTGGAAAAGAAAAAAGCAACTAAAGCAGCTCTCTTCTCACTCTTCTGATTGGCATGTTTACTGAATTAGCATGTGAGCTGAATATATTCTCCTGATCCATTCCTCAACCATTACCATTAAATGAGTACTTGAATTAAACATGAGCAGTTCAAAACAACAAAATTCTGCTCAAGCAGTAACAAATTACTATTCACAAGACACATCATGTTGTTTCATTCTCACACAACTTTCTTTAAGCTCCCACTGCTAATGGCAACCTTTCTTCCATCTCCACCCTACCTTCATTCTCTCAATGTATTTTTGTTTATTCTCCAAACTCAGCTCAAACTTCACCAATATGGGGCCCTAATCAAAAAAAGGAGCTCATTCTTCTCTCTTAAACCTAATGCTCTCTTGAATATATTTTGGTTGTAACAAATCACACTAAGTAATAAGTAATAGTATCACTGTCGCTTTTTGTTCTCCACAAAATATCCACAAGGACATACTGCTTATTCATGCTTGTAAGAAAATTTGTTCATGACTACAATTTCAAAAATAAGCAAGTCTTGGGAATTCCCTGGCAGTCTAGTGGTTAAGACTCCAGGCTTTCACTGAAGGGAGCACGGGTTCAGTCCCTAGTTGAAGAGCTAAGATCCTGCATGCCACATGACCAAGAAAAAAGAATAATATAAGCAAGTCAGGAATAAATTTGTGCATAAGAGTTCAGGAAATTGGTGCTGTGCTTAGTCACTCAGCCATGTACAACTCTTCGTGACCCTATGGACTGTAGCTTGCCAGGTCCTTTGTCCATGGCGATTCTCCAGGCAAGAAGACTGGAGGGGGTTGCCATGCCCTCCTCAGGAAATTGGTAGAGAGGCTCATTAATAGAAATTACTCAAATATTTTGTGACATCTTTGAAATTACTCCCTCAGGTCAGCTTTCCAAAAAGCCACCCAGTTTAAGCCAAAATGTCTAACGTGTATTCAAATCTGTGATCTTTGTCTTGAAAATACAGGCTACAGATTCCATCCAAGTAATCAAGGAATATGGGGATAAAGATGTAATAAATGAAAGAAAGAGAGTCCAGAAACTGTTACCTAGGTTGATGGCTGCCCCTTTGCTTTTCAACAAACTTACAAAGGTAAAGTCATTCAGTATCCAACTTTGCACCAAGATTTAGCTCACCTTCCCTGCCATGAATTTGTTGGTAGTATACTAATTCATTGGAGTTCTATGGGATCTATGTACATTCTGGTAAAATAGAGGACTGAAAGGGGAAAGACTCTTCTGAAACTGTCCATACGTGACAGTCCACAGGGTCTAAGGTTATGGTTGTGGTTGACCCATTATCAGTGCTTCAGTACACTGTGGTTCTCTTTTAATTTTCTCAGATTTACTATAAGTGTCCAGTTGTAAAGGCCGTGAGAAATATCTCCCTTTTAGTCTCAAAGTATGAGTGCTTTGGATTACTTGGATTAAATGGAGCCGGAAAAACCACTACATTCAAAATGTTGACTGGAGAGGAGATCATAACCTCTGGAGTTGTGTTAATTGATGGCATTAACATCACTGAAAATATCAGAAAGGTATTTCTAGACCTAATCACTGAGTTTGTGCCCTAAGGTAACCAGAGAAATGGGTGGAGGGCATGGAAGAAAGCATTGAGATACACACACACACACACACACACACACACACACACACACACACACATTATTTTCTCAAATGTAACAGAGTGCAGGGGCAGTAATAGTCATGATAACATCCCAAGTTTGGGGAAAGGCAAATACTCTTTCTGGCTGAAAAAAAATCTGATTACCTGTAAATGAATCAAATGAAAAACAGGAAGAATGGTTATTTCACATAACCTGCTCTTACATAATTGGAGTTTGATATAAAATAGTGATTTTTAAAAGTGATTATGAAAGATACTGAGAAAGTAAAATTTGTCCAGGTTTGGGATCCATTTGGATCTGGGTTATAAGAAAAGAAAGGAACCTAAGATATTGCCCAGGAACCTATCTTGAGCCAATGAATGAGTGAAAGTTCTGTTTATCCAGATAGTAAAGACAAGAGATGAGTATATTTGGAGAAGAATATGTTGAATGTTAGATGTTTATGACACATTTAAATGGGAAAATATCCAATAGACAGTTGAAATCTATGATAGTGAATTGATATGGAGATATAAATCTCTCAGAATTCATCAAAGTACAAGTGAAATTTAAACTGTGGAAGTGAGACAATCTATTTGGAGTATGTATAATAATGAGAAGAAAGATATGGGCGGAGTCCTGAGGATCAACATTTCTAAGACATGGAGTGAGAGAGAGAATGACTGGAGGAAAAACTTGAGGAATATTAGTGAGTTAGGAAGAAAATCTGGATAAATATTTTTTAATTGGGGTATTGTTGCTTTACAATGTAGTGTAAGTTTCTGCTGTTCAACAAAGCAAATCAGCTGTATGCGTACATGTATTCCGTCCCTCTTAGATCTCTCTCCAACCCATCCCACCCATCTAGGTGCTCACAGAACACTGAGCTGAGATCCCTTGCTACAGAGAAGGTTCCCAATAGTGATTTATTTAACACATGATAGTGTATATATTTCAGTCCTAATTTACCAATTCATTCCACTTTCCTTCCCCCGACTCTGTGTCCACACGTCTGTTCTCTATATCCTCATCACTATTCCTGCCCAGCAAGTAGGTTCATCTGTACCGTTTTCTAGATTCCACATATATGAGTTAATATGCAATGTCTGTTTTCCTTTTTCTGACTTACTTCACTCTGTGTGACAGAGCCTAGGTCCATTCACTTCTCTAGAAATTATCCAATTTCAGTCCTCTTTATGACTGAGAACATTCCATTGTATAAAAGTACCACATTTCCTTTATCCATTCATAGGTTAATGAATGTTTAGGCTGCTTCCATGTCCTGGCTACTGTAAATAGTGCTGCAATGAACATTGAAGTGCATGTGTCTTTTTTAATTACAGTTTTCTCAGGGTATATTCCCAATAGAGGGATTTCTAGATCATATGGTTCTGTTTTTAGTTTTTTTAAGTAATCTCTATACTGTTCTCCATAGTGGCTGTAACAGTTCACATCCCCATCACAGTACAAGAGGGTGCATTTTTCTCCACACCCTCTCCAGCATTTAGTCTTTGCAGATTTTTTGATGATGGTCATTCTGACCAGAGTGAGGTGACACCTCATTGAAGTTTTAGTCTGCATTTCTCTAACAGTTAGTGATATTGAACATCCTTTCATGTGCCTCTTGGTCATTTGTATGTCTTCTTTGGAGAATTGTCTATTTAGGTCTCCTGCCCTTTGTTGATTGGGTTTTTGCTTTGATGCTGTTAAGTATCATGAGCTGTTTGTGTATTTTGGAGGTTAATCCCAGTTGCTCCATTTGCAAACATTTTCTTCCATTCTGAAAGTGGTCTTTTCATCTCATTTATGGTTTTCTTTGTTGTACAAAACCTTTTGTGCTGTGCTCAGTTGCTTCACTGATGTCTGACTCTTTGTGACCCCATCGACATTATCCCACTAGGTTTCTCTGTCCATGGGATATTCCCAGCAAGAATACTGGAGTGGGTTGCCATGCCTTCGTCCAGGGGATCTTCCCAACCCAGAGATCAAACCCACATCTCCTGTGTCTCCTGCATTGCAGGTAGATTCTTTACCACTAAGCCAACTGGGGAAGCCTGTGCAAGACCTTTTAAATGTAATTAAATCCATTTTTTTACTTTTGTTTTTATTTTTATTACTCTAGGAAGTGGGTTAAAAAAGATCTTGCTGTGATTTATGTCAGAGTGTTCTTCCTGCTTTCCTCTAAAGTTTTACAGTGTTTGGTGTTACATTTAGGTCTTTAATCCATTTTGGGTTTATTTTTGTGTATGGAGTTAAGGAGTGTTCTGATTTCATTCTTTTACATGTAGCTGTTCAGAGTTCCCAGCACTGGATAAAATTTTATCACAAAATCCACAAGAAGGAAAAATGTCAAGAAGAAAATGAAACAGTGATATTAGGCAAGATAGGCCTTAATAGTGTCCACTGGACATCACTGAAATAGGAATGCAGTGAAATGACAAATAAACAGTGAGGATAGGGAAATAATGAATGTGGACCAAACCTAGAAGAAAAAAGGATGTCAAAAAAAAAATGGAGAAAAGAATGACATCCAGAACTTAAGGAGTTAGTAAAGACAGAATTGTAATTTTTAGCAACCAGAACATTTTTGTGTAAATGGGGGTGGGGGGAGCAATTTTAAAAGTTGTTTAAAAAGAAAATTTTAAATATATAGTGATAGATGTGTGTGTGTTAGTCATTCAGTCATGTCCAACTCTGTGCGACCCCATGGATTCTTGCCTGCCAGGCTCCTCTGTTCATGGAGGCAAGAATACTGGAGTGGGTTGCTATTCCATTCTCCAGGAAATCTTACAGACCCAGAGACTGAACCTGGGTCTCCTGCATTGCAGGCATATTCTTTACAGTCTGAGCCACTAAGGAAATCCCATAGTAATAGGAGCTATCTGAAAGAGAAAGTATTCCTCCATACAAATTATAAATCAAAGCAATATAAAATGGTTTCAAGTAGCAAGTTATTTTCACTCCTACCCACCATTTGCCTCATTCCATCCCAAGTCTTACAAATCTTACAAGAAGGAAACCATTTTTCTTATTCTATAGTTTTTTTATATATACAATCAATTATAAAGATCTATTTTTCCATTTATTGCACAAAATGTAGTATGCTGCATACAATGTTTTGGACATTGCCAAATTATTTTCCAAATGTGGATATATAAATTTGCACTAAATCAGCAATGTTTGAGAGTGGCTATTATCCTACACTGATCACAACAGAGCATATCATCAGTTTTTTGGGCTTTAGCCGGTCTGGTCATGGTACCAAGCAGTCGGGCTCATTACCCACTGTGCAGCCTATTACAAGAAAAGACTTTACTGCAAGGGAGCCAAGCAAAGGTGCAACCACAAAAATGATAGAATGATCTTGGTTCCTTTCTAAGGCAAACAATTCAACATCACAGTAAATCAAATCTACACCCCAACCACTGATGCCAAAGAAGCTGAAGTTGACCTATTCTATGAAGACCTACAAAACCTTCTAGAACTAACAGCAAAAAAAAAGATGTCCTTTTCATCACAGGGGATTGGAATGCCGAAGCCAAGAAATACTGGAATAACAGGCAAATTTGGCCTTGGAGTACAAAATGAAGCAAGACAAAGGCTAACAGAGTTTGGTCAAGAAAACACACTTGTCATGACAAGCACCCTTTCCCAACAACACAGGAGACTCTACAAATGGACATCACCAGGTGGTCAATGCTAAAATCAGATCTATTATGTTCTTTGCAGCCAAAGATGGAGAACTATCTTTTACTTGTCAGTAAAAACAAGACCGGGAGCTGACTGTGGCTCAGATCATGAACTCCTTATTGCAAAATGCAGGCTTAAATTGAAGTAGGAAAAACTTCTAGGCTATTCAGGTATGACCTAAATCAATCCCTTGTGATTACATAGTAGAGGTGATTAATATATTCAAGAGATTAGACCTGATAGAAGGAGTACCTGAAGAACTATAATGGAGGTTCATAGCATTGTACAGGAGGCAGTGATGAAAACCGTCCCCCCAAAAAAGAAATGTACGAAGGCAAAGTGAAGAGGATAGCTGAGGAGCAAAGAGAAGTAAAAGGCAAAGGAGAAAGGGAAATATATATTCAACTGAATGCTGAGTTCCAGAGAACAGCAAGGAGAGATAAGGAGGCCTTCTCAAGTGAACAATGCAAAGAAATAGAGGAAAATCACAGAATGGGAAAGAGTATAGATCTCTTCAAGAAAATTGGAGGTATCAAGGAAACATTTCATGCAAGGACGGGCACGATAAAGGACAGAAACAGTAAGGACCTAACACAAGAGGAAGAGATTATGAAGAGGTGGCAAGAATGCACAGAAGAACTATAACAAAAGGTCTTAATGACTGGGATAACCATAATGGTGTGGTCGCTCATTTAGAGCCAGACATCCTGCAGTGTGAAGGCAAGTGGGCCTTAAAAAGCATTAGTACAAACAAAGTTAGTGGAGGTGATGAAATTTCACCTGAGCTATTTAAAATTCTAAAAGATGATGCTGTTAAAATGCTGCACTTGGTATGTCAACAAATTTGGAAAACTCAGCAGTGGCCACAGGACTTGAAAAATTCCGTTTTCATCCCAATCTCAAAGAAGGGTAATGCCAAAAAAAATGTTCAAACTACCATACAGCTGTGCTCACTTCACATTCTAGTAAGGTTATGCTCAAAATCCTTCAAGTTAGGCTTTAGCAGTACATGAACCTAGAACTTCCAGATGTACAAGCTGGGTTTCAAAGAGGCAGAGGAATCAGAGATCAAATTGCTAACATTTGTTGAATCATGGAGAAAGCAAGGGAGTTCCAGAAAAACATCTTCTTCTGCTTCATTGACTACACTAAGGCTTTTGACTGTGTGGATCATGACAAACTTTGGAAAAGTCTTCAAGAGATGGGACTACCAGATCACCTTACCTGCCTCCTGAGAAACC